AACTAAAAGGCAGCTAATGGCAGGAAGCAATGGAGTATTTTTCATCCTAAAAGAGGCATTTCATGTCCACTGACTGTCAGGCACACCCTGACATGAATGAGGTTTTCTACCCACTGATAGACAAGGAACAGGCTCAAGAATTAATGTGGCCAGTGTGGCAATGAATTAAACAGCGAAGTCAGGATTCAAAGCCAAGTTCAAGGGCCTCCCTGGTGGCGCAAGGGGTTAAGTCTCAGTGCTCTGACGCGGCCCAAGGGAGCCTAAATCAGCTATGAAGCTGACTAAAGGAAAGGAGGCAGAAGGAAGTGAGAGAACAAGGGGCAGGGGAAAAGCTGCACACGCCTCAGCAGAACTCAGCCTGGCCAGGGAGGGAGCCACAGGGCGCAGACCTCTCCTGTCTCCCCGCTGCTCCCCTCAGGCAGTGGGTCTGCCTGTTCTGCTCCCCGCTCTGTCTCTGGTGAATCCCCTCACCTTCCCTCCATGGCCTGTGCCCAGTTTTGTATGCATAAACAAATATGCATTTATATGTATAAATAAAAAAATCTTTTAAAAAAAAGCAAAGCAAAGCCAAATTCCAAAGCTACCTCAGCAGGCCGCCCAGCCTGGTGAACAGGCTGAGACACTTTGGAGCAGTGCTGAGGGCACTCAAGGATGTGGCTCAGTGTTGCCATCTTTCTTTTTCAAAATCCTAACCAGAAGGTTGGCGAATTTTCTATGCACAGTGCCTTTCCTGATGGCCAGGTTGTCACAGAACCTGTGTTAAACTGTTAGGTGAGTTCAGATCCAAGAGCAGTCACCAAGCCTAGTGGGATAGTGGGTGTGAGACCAGAGGTCAGTACAGGACTGGGAAACAAAATCCAGTCGCATTGTGGCACCCCAGATCCCACACTTTCATGCTTGCCCAGCTGACACCAGGTGAGCACAGGAGTGGGTCCTACTCACCAATCAGTCACACCCCAGGAACTAGGACCAGGCCAGGCGTGCCAAATAGTTTACTAGATGGTCATTAAAGTAAGGCAAAAAGCAAATGATGGGAGAATTTTTCTAACACATTAACAATACAAAGGTGGAGTCCTACCTATGACCCCAGTTCTGAAAGGCACATTCCCCGCTGGGCCTCCGCACTGCCCAGGGGCCTCGGCCACAGCCTCGGCAGGCACTGCACAGCCCAAAGGGCCAGAGCCCTGGGCCATGGGCTCCAGCCTTGGAACTGCACACAAGAACTGGGATACAGGAGAGCCTTTGGGGCACCTGCCGTGACACTTGGTACAAAAATGAAGTTCATGTCACGGACTTCCCCAGGGCCAGACTTCCCTGAGGCATCTCACAGGAGCTCCTGCACACAGGCTTCAGATGCTCTGGGGCACTAGCCCCCCATTACTCCAAGTCTTCCTAGAACACCCCTCAAGGCATCATGTCAGTCACTTGGCCTGTACCAGGTATCCCAATCTCAAATCCTCAACTCAGTTCCCTCCCACATTTTCAAACATGATGTGGTTAACAGCTTTTACAAATGGAGAGAATGAACTGAAAATTGCAAAGGATGGACAGATACCCAGCTACCTCCTCCTACCCGGGACTCATGGAGTAGCACAGTTCATCTCTGTGGTATTTCCACAGGGAATATATTCCTCCACCGACAGTCACCACAGGCTTTATGAATTAACAAAATGGAAGGCTAGAGGGCCAGCACGCCGGTCAATGAGTGATTCTATCCCAAAACTACGCTGGAAACAATCTGGCAAAGTAGCCCGCCCCCACCATTCAGCAGTGCCCAAGGGGCTGGTGTCCACACACCCGGGCGCAGACTCCGCACACGGCAGGGAGCCAGCGCGCTCGAGGAGCAGCTAACACACCTCCTTCCAGGTGTTGAGAAAGCAGACTCACTGGTGAGCTGGAGGACTGCTGGGAGCTTCCCAAAAAAGGAGACCTCCCAGGATCCCAATGAGAACGTGAAGCTCCCAGTGGCCGAGGAGCTGAGTCTCAGTGCTATCAGCTGCGGCTGAGTACGATCCGCGGCCAGGGAGCAACCCAGAGGGCGCTGCGGGCCTCCCCTGTCTCCCTGATGCTCCCCTCTACAGGGTATTTCAGTTGATACGCCTGTTCTGCTCCCCACTCTCTTTGGTGAATCCTGCCATTCTGCAGCCCCCACCCCCATACCTCTGACCTACACCCCAGTTCTTCTATACAAAATACAGGAAAAAAAAAAAAACATGAAAGCAATTCAAGGAAAAGCCTGACAAGATTACAAAATCTGGGGATCAAACACAAGTATCTGAGTAATAGTCAAGTCAATAGCCCAGTTTTAACAGAGTAACCACAGTTTTCTGGGAAATAGCACTGAGTTAAATGCTGGGGACCCCTTCCCCCAGGCACACTGAATAGAGGCTCAGAAATCTGGGAGAGAAATACAACAGTTACGGCATCTCTTTAATGGTGGAGCTATCAGCACACTGAAGGCTACTCTCACCGAGTAAGAGATCTCATCTTATGAAGGAGCCTTTTTTTTTTGGACATAATACTTTTGGGATTTAATTCATTTGCCAAATGGATACATGATATTAATCTTGCCCAGATTCACCACCCCCCAACCAGAAGACACTTACTTTGTAGTGGTTTATGCATTTTCTCTTGATTTTCCAGTACTTGTCTTAGTAAAATGCACACATAGTCAACTAAATGTCTATTACTTTACACCCTATTTTCACTGAAGAGTTCAGTGCACAAAGACCTTAGGGCGCAGCAAGGCCAACAGATGCTGGAGGCAAGATAATGAAGGGCCTGAAAGCAAGCTGTGTAGTATGGCCCTGGTCCTCCCAGGGTGCCTGGACCAGCAGAACAGAGGACCTGCTACCTAACATACCTTGAAGTTTCTACACAGCGGAACTCAGAACCAGAACATTCCATCCACTCGTGAGAACTCTCAGCGAAGGTCAGCCCCACCGCAAGCTTCTGAAAGCACCAGGGCAGTGCGCAGGCTCTCCCCGGTGACTGGAAGGCCCTGGGAGAGTCTACTTTCCTGCGACTGACAGCAAGTCTACGGCCAAGGGGGGCCCGGGAGGGACCCAGCCACGGCGTGATAAAAAGAACAAGTCTAAAAGTCTGTATATACCTGCACCCATGTTTACTGCTGCTTTACTTACAATAGAAAAGACATGGAATCAACCCAAATGCCAAAAGTAAATGACTGGATTAAAAGATGTGGTCCATCCAGGCAAGAAAATAGCAGTAATAATGAACAGCTATATACAGAGACATTTTATGGGTGTGGTGTAGGGAATGGGATCAAAAACGGTGGGGGGAGGGAGTGCACTGGACTATGGTGATGGCACCCGGATGATTTGGTGATGGAAAGCCCATGGAGATTACAACTGAGATGGAAAAAGGCACAAAATGATGTAAAATAAACTATTATAGTATTTACTTATTAAAAAACAAATAATGAATTCAAGTTTTAGCAAAAAAAAAGTGTAGTCCATATACACGACGGAATATTACTCAACAACCAAAAAAGATAAACTCACGCCTTTTGCAGCGACATGGATGGAGCTGGACGGGATCATGTTTAGTGAAATAAGCCAGAAAGTAAAAGAAAAATACCAGATGGTTTCACTCATGGCAAGAGCATAAAGGCCCAGGGGGATAAAAACTAGTAAGAATGAACAACTATATACCAGGACATTTTATGGGGGTGGAGTGGGGAACGGGATCAAAAACGGTGGGGAGAGGGAAGTGCACTGGACTGTGGTGATGGCACATGGCTGACTGGTGATGGGAGACCCAAGGATTGCAACTGAGATAAACTGTTACAGTAATATATATGGATATATGTATAAGTTAAAAGAAGTCTTGTGCATATAGAGCTTTTTCAAATTACTAGTGGCATCTGTTATGTAATTACCCAGGGGCCCTAACTTCCCTTCCCGTTGAGGGAGGGGGGACAGGTGGACACAGCCTAACACTGCTGCTACACCAAGTATTGACCTCCGAGCGTTCTGAGCTGTGGCTCAAATGTTTCCCACTTGGATCCCTGATTAAAGGGCTGCAAGTCACTGCTCAGTAGCGGAAGGTGGAGAACCAAGCGCAGAGACAGGGCTGCTGCACTGCCCTACACGGGCAGATGGGACCCTTTAAGGTGGTGGGACTGTAGCAGTAGGAAAGAAAGATAAGCAGAAGAGGGACTTGCGTGCAGAGAACAAGGGCTGGGAAACCCCTGTGGTAATCTAGTTACCACATCGGGACGCTGGGGGGCAAGGCAGCCATAACCACCAGCGGGCGGCAGTGAAGTAGCCGGCTGAGCGCGCTGTGGGGTGGCGGCAGCACACCGAGGTTGAGACACTGCTTTCCACAAGAGACACGGGATGTCCCCAGAGAGCTGCACACCACCACCTCAAAACCAGGTCCCTAACTTTGCTTTAGTCACCTTTTACAATACTGTATTCTATTTCAGTTCAAAATGTTTTAAATCTACACTCTGTCCCCATCCAGGTGGTTATGACTTTTAACAGCACGTCACCACACCAGAGAACCAACATCCCCAGCAAGTCGCTGGCTGTTACATTATTTACCATCCCCGGGGCCTCCCTGCATTGAGCATTTGATGGATAAGTAGAGAGGGCTGTCATCTGGTGGGCACAGACACGGCCCCACGGGCAGCAGGAGCTCCGCCGTGGGCGCGCCACCAGGAGAGCGCAGTGCCACGGGGTGCGCAGTGCCGAGGGGTGCGCCAGCTGCCACACAGCCCCGCGCCCTGGGAGCTGCACAGTTGGCTGAAGGGCCCCGCTGATCCAGCGCGCGAGGAAATGGCAGCACTCCAACAGATCACTTTATCGCGGACTGAATCCCCCACGTACACCAGAATAGACATAATTAAGCGAAGCCGTGTGGACCTAAAGGTAAAATGTCATCCCCACCAGGCTCTTGATGAAGGAGTTTTGCTTGACAGAAGCCTTTTTATGAAGTAAATTACATTAATTACCGACATTTAAAAACATCCAACATTTAAGGGTTCTGGATCTCTGATTTATTAGACCGCGCGGAAATAACAGGTTTGGATTATTTTACAAAAAGAGCTCAAGCTGCTCAAAAACAGCACTGGGCTGGCGGAGGGGGAACCACCCTCCAGCCTACTGTACAAGGACACGGGACTCCTCATCTTACACAGAGCTGGTACGCAAGGACGCAGACAAGTTTTTTGTGAGACAAAAAAAAAAAGAAAAGAAAAGAAACCCACATACTACAGAAGGTGCCCGCAGCCACTGCAGCGGGTCCATAAGGGCAGCGCGTATTTGCAGGAAGCAAAGCAAAGCTGCCCGCGGAGGCCACATTCACAAGATGACTAGGTGGACCTGCAAAGAAGAAAACACGTTTCAAAAGCTGGGTTCAGACTTACCCTAAGCTTTTGGTGAAATACTTAAAAATTAAAAGACCTCTGTCTGCATCAAAACAAATGTTAAAAACACATCACGGATAAAGTAAATTTCAATAAAGTTACAAATCCTATTCAGAGACATACATTTGCAAATATTAAAAAAAGTTTGACAACAAAAACACACTTGAGGCTACCTAAAACAGGCCAAGCTAAGTTCGTGTTTTGCTTTAGGACATTACACTGAAATGAATCTCATTCTCACTATAATTTTTTTTCTTTTTAACCTTAATCACCAGCGGCTGGGCAACTGAAATGGACATGAGAACTATATAAATGTCAGAGAAATATGTAAACCTCATTAATGTTTCCAAAAATTCATTTAGAGATAGAAACAGGTCCAAATAGATGCCTGTCTAAATGTACTGCAATTACGTTACAATTATTTTTCCAAATACACAGATATGCTCTGTCTTTTCTCAGCTCATTACTGACTCAAACAATTTGCCCTTCTGGGATCAATTGTTTGCTAATAAATAATTGTTTACAGTCTCAAAATGATGTTAGGAGGTTTTCTTATTAGTTTTCCTTCTGCACCCTAATAAGATTGAAAACTAGCTGATTCCCAAGAGTCTAACCTTAACCTCGCTTTGTTTAACAGCCCAGGAAATGATGAACCATCTGCTTCAGAAAATAATGGACGGCCGAGAGGAAATATTGTTTAATTGTAGATTAACCTCCTCATGAGGCAGTCTGAAGCAGCTTTAGAATTAGCAACTATGACCAGCAAAAGAAACAAATGGCTCAAGAGCCTTTTCCTCTACCATTTAAGGTCCAGAAAGAATGCAAAGGGGTTTTTTATTACCTATATTTATTTCCAAACATTTATTTCCACAGTGGAAACAAAAATAAGGTCAAAAGTGATTCTCAAAAGTGCAGTCACTGCCCTCCAATTTTGTTTGCCTGAATACATTTAATGCAGCAACCATCAAACCATCTCGTGCGCTTAAAAAAGGGCTCATTTGGGGGGAGGAAAAAACCCAAAAAACTCTTTTCCATTATTTTCAGGTTCTTATAATATTTAAATTAATATTTTTCCCTGTCTTCCTTAAATGTACCATTGAGGAGCAGGAATTTTTTATCATCATCAGCATGGCACTTATGTACATGAAATCTTGTCAAGTACAAGGGTGACCTACAAGTTCAAAAGAAAAAAGAAAACCAGGAGACCCAAATGGCTGGTCAGGACAAAGATATGAAAGTGAGATTAAATGCAAACAGCCCTTTGTGCAGCAGGCTTCATGCCTAAGTCAAACCGTGTGGGTGCGCACGACAACTGAACATCGGACACTCAGCCCTTCTTGGGGACACAGCAATTTGGTCAGGGCTCAACAGAGTTCCATTCAGGCAAAGCCAGGAATCCTAAAAACATTCAGTTATTCTGTCTGTAAACATCCACTGAGAACCCCCAAGGGTCTGCCTAGGAAGGGCCAAGGAACACAGCAAGGCAAAGACACCTGGGGCAGGTTTCAAAGTTCTCCCTTAACCAAGTTAAGAGCTTGGTGCTACTGGTACCAAAAAAGTGTCAACAGTTACAGCCAAGAGCCAAAGACGTCCGAGAGATTTCAAAGCGAAGGACTGTGCTATTCCAAGGCCATGTACCTTTGGGTTTCCTTCCAATAAGACCTGAAGGTCATTCACTTTTTGTACATATAGAAGAAACAACCTCTCTGGAGAGGATAAATTTTTGGCAGTTCAAATTCTTAAATATCTTAAATAGCTTTTGCTAAAATAAATTATTCTTGAATTCCTCAACTTAATTTTGAAGCAATGAGCTAGTAATAACTCCAGAGATTCAAATAATAGTGCCTATTGAAGAAGAATGAGAGTTTGACATTCTTCTCTACAAAACAACTAGGCACAATTTTATCCATCAGACGTCTATCAACCTACGGATATTGAAAGCTTGGGAGAACAAGATAAAATCAACTCCAACCCTACAGTCAGCTGTAATATCGAGCAGGCATCAACAATGCTATTCATGAATTTAGAAAAATTAATAAATCCTGGGTTGAATGCAAGAAAAGGCTCAAATACAGGTGAAGCATACTCACTTGGGTTTTGTTTCTGCATCTGTCACTTGGCGAATGAAGATACCATCTTCAGGATGTTCCGTGTCATCCATTTCATACATATATGATGATGCTATTGCAAGCGTCGTCCCGTCATTGCTGAAGGCAAGGGACGCGATGCTGGTGGGGTACCGGTGGAACTGGCACAGTCGCTTTTTGTTAAATGGATCCCAAATATTCACAAATCCATCAGAACCGCCTGCAAACAATTTCAAGAGTCAATGTGGCTCTTACAAGCAGAACAGAAATAACCACTATCTTAACAGTCCTTATGGCCACAGAAGTTGCACTTTCGCCCCCAGAGTATTATACCAGATTCCCTCCCCAAGACAGTAACACGCAAGCACAATAAACACACACACATACACGCTTAAGTATAAATGTGTAGTGTCCGGTAACCGCAAAGCTGTATGTATTATCCTAATAATCAAACATAGGCTAACACGCCATTATTTACCTGTGGCAAATGTATTGTGTATGTTGTGAAAGGAAATGGCGTTGACAGGGTAGATCTGCTCGATATTATTTTCTTTCAGTCGGTGACACTTAAAGGCATACTTCTTCTTCTGCACCTCAGGGCTGGGGTCCAAGTACTCAACTGCCACTCGTCCTTCAATGGAGCTCAAGACATAACCCTGCCGTTAGAGACAGAGGAGGACAAAATTGTGAGTCCGTCTCCAAAACAGGCACCAATTCCCAAATTCAACCTGCCCTCAAGAAAGAGGAATATTTCAGAAATGAAAACAAAGTCCAATTTTAACAGTGCTTCAGATGTGCTAACGTAATCGGGACATTCCAAAAGCTTAATATCTACTTTATAAGAAGGAAAACAAGGCTATCACTGCTTGCTTCTTCACTGTACCATGATTTGCACAAAAACATCCAGTTATTTTCTAAAATCTAAACAAGAAATCTACACTGTTTCATTATCTTTTATCTGCTGTTCTGTCCAGAAGGGACTCAAATTTGCTCCAGTGGTAGGAACATCATTTTCTTCGTTCTATATCCTTCACCTTTAACAAGTCTCAGGATTAATTTTCCTTCACTGAGAATCTCAGTTAACCCAAATCAACCAAATTCTGCCTCTTCCAGTTTAACTACAGCAAGTCAGGTTTGCACACAACAGATTTTCAGCAATGCTCAAAAGTGCTTTACAATTTCCTCAGATCTCCTAGAAAGAACAATGTCAGAAAAAAAAAGATAAATATGCAATCTGTATCTTTTACTTATTTAAGGTATAAAAATTATTACTAAAAACGCATTTATAGTGCAAAAATCTTACTTTTCAATGAAATGGGAAGTTTATAAACCAGGTATACTGACAGAAAACTTCAGACATAAAGACATGAAAATATTTATAAATTCAAGCACATTTTAATCATGTATTTAAATCGCCGAAGTTTCACATATCTGCAATTTCTTATCTGCAGTGGATAGTTACAATTTCCTGTGAAGAGAACTGTGATCTGAGGTACTAGCCTTCTGAGATAAAAGGTCAAGAATAACTGACATAATTGCTTCAAGCTCTACAACTACTAAAGGACAACCAGTCATTAGATTCCAAAGAGATCTGCTGAATTCCCCTCAAACTTAAAGGGCGTGGGAGGAACAGGGCCTCCCTAATAAACAGTGACCTCAGTTAGCAAGAGGACGACGGATGGACGGCCCCGCACATCAGTCTGTCACTGTGTCAGATGAAACTCTTTACCTCCAGCAGCAGGTTTGTTTTTTTTTTAATTCAAGTTCGGTTGTCAAATTGGGAAAAGCTCCACAACAGTATTAGGGTTACAAAGAGACAAGAAGGGAACTGCAAAGTCCACACCCTAAATTTCCATATTTAATTGTGAACTCGTGATCTAAGTGAAATATCTGAAAAATTCCCTGCTCAACGACTACCTGTCAGGCGCTCTGGACTAAGAGCAACAACGAACGATCTTAGTGACGGTCACGTCACTGGCAGACTGCTGACCCTCTGAGCACCGAGGTCTTCCCTCAAAATAGACGACTACACTACCTTTTCGCACAAAGCTGTTAAAAATACTTAACAGCAAAGTCCAAGTCATGACTCCAAGCTAAGCTCTAAAAGGCAGTGGCCAAACCCTTCTGGGTAAGAGCAGGGGGAGACAGCACCTGTTTGTTGGGAAAGGCGCGGATGCAGCGGGTCTGGTACTTCAGGCTGGACTCACGGCGCTGCTGCACGTAGCCCATGTTCCGCAGGTCCCACACCAGCACTCTGCGGCCCGCAGTGCCCACGATCAGCCGGTCCCCCGACACCGACAGGGTGTACACCTTTCAAGACATACCAAAACTTGCTAAAATGCATCCACTGGCCTGGAAACAGCTTTCTTCCCCAACACAAAGCACACATCATAAAATTTTAGCTTGATTTCTAACACAGGTACCAAATTTTAATCGTTCGTTGCTTAAACCAAGTAGTTCTCACAAAAGAATAAATCCAGCATATTTTAATACTTAACCAGTATCATATAATGTACAATCTAGTTCATTCTGCAAAAACTTTTGAATATTTAATTCTCTTCACTACTTAAGTAAATTATTAAGCCATTTCTCCAGGCTTCTTGTTTCATTTAGAGACAATATGAAAGTATGTAATACTCAGAAAGGAGAGACTATAGCCACGAAACAATACCTTCCAATGGGCTTCTGGCGTTTCATAAAACCATCCTTTTTTCAAAGTTATTTTTCTATGAGCATCTTTTGGGAGTTTTCAAGTTGTGATTAAAAACCCTGCCTTGCCCAGGGGCCACAATGAATAAACAGGCCTCTCCGCAAGAGTGAGGGAGCCGTCAGTAATTAGCAACTTAGCTGCTTTTGGTGACATATGAGCTCAAAATTAAGAGACAAGGACAGTGATCTGGCATATGACAAAGTGAATTCCTGTGTCCTGAAATCACACCAAATACTCAAGAGTTCAACAGAGTTCATCTTCAGGGAAAATTTAAAAAGCATCATCTTCCCTCCTAAAGCACTTATTTTTTTTTTCTTCATAATCTCTTCTTCAACATTAAACAGCTTCTACCAAAAAAAAAAAAAAAAATGCCTTCGCGTTAAGTCACAAAACTTCCCATAAGCCAGAATGTGAAATGGTTTATTTTCAAACATGGTATTTGGGGGGCAAAATAACATCATAAAAATGGTGCAAAATGTGTCTTCCTGATTCTGTTAAATGAGTTTTTTAAAATCTAGGCTTCAGATATATAACTTGTCTTGCAATTAAGAAGCAACTCTAATTAAATCTGACTTAGTATTTTAAAACCTGAAAAATCACTATAAAAAAATGAAGATGCTGTGGTAAGACAGCTCATAAAAATTCACTAACTAAACCCCATGGATAGTAGTCACCAGTAAGTTAACTACAAATCCTCTCCCTACCGGCTGAAAAAACAAAGTTAGATTTAACAGTGTAATGACCCAAAGTCTCCTCAATAATGCCTGAAAATTTAACAACCAGCTTGACAAAGGGAAAAAATAATTTAAAAGATTCAAAACAATAGATTTACTATAAGCTCGTTTAAACAGAATACAGGCTCTGAAACACAGCTTATTCAGAAAACAAAATGTTAGCAGAGAAATGGAAATTAACCTAAGACATATGAAGCATCAAACTTAAAAAATACAGAGGCCAGAAAAAGATCGATTTATAATAGTACAATCAGATTGGGAATTTTGTCTTAAATCTTTACTATACAGGTGACACACAAGCTTCTAATAGCGCTTTCTACCCCTACTGGTCGTAAATCAAGTGAAACCAGTGTCATGCTACTGACGGGGTATATACATTTATCAAAGAAAGTATTAAAAAAAGTGACATAATGAACCTTGCTGAACCAATAAGCAGCTTGATTCAGTGTGGCTGTCCATTATATGATATTCTGCCAGCAATTTATCACAGTTCTTAACATGTTACATACAACCATAAATCAAAACTAGAAACAATGCAATTATTTTATTCTGAACAAAGGTCTTGCCAGGAGTAGATTCAACTGTGATGTGACAAAAATAATGGCTCTTTGGATGCACTACAGTATATAATGATGGCTAACAGAAACTGAATAGTATATTTACACTGAGGAAATAGACTCAAGTGAAGGATTCCTTTAAACTGCTAAAACAATCAATCTTTAAAATTAACTACCACCTGATAAAGTCTGATGAGGACACAGCAAGAATGCTCAATTACACTTCATTGTACAGATCAAAAGGTTAGAATAATACACAAAGTTTCCATTTTAAGAAGCTTCATTCACTAGAGCCTGCAAACTACAAGTCAGTACTTAAGAAATCAATAAAGTGGTACAAGTCGGGGAACTGCACTAACCACGGCTCCTCTTGTTACCAGGCACCGCAATGAAACCTAAGGTTCCGAAGAAAGACAAGGGACGCTCCATGCCGCCTTCTGGCTTGGGCACATCAAACTCAATTTCCGGTCAGCGGTCTCTGCTAGATCACCTCTGAAAAAGTACGTTGCTCCTCAGCCCTGTGCTCTATAGCACTGACAGTGCAGGAAGAGGGTTTATTTGAGCCAGTGCTCCCCAGTACAATGACAAATGACAGAAAAAAAAGCTGACCCCACTGCCAATTAATTTTCCTTTTCATCAAAATATTTCTATGCAGTTAGGTTTGTAAAATAGACTCGTAAACTCTTAACCTCTAAATTCACCATATTCATCAAACATATATCAAGTCCAATTACCCCCAGGCCCATAATTCCTGTCAAATACATAACAAGCCTACCTTTTCAGGCTGAGAGAAGGTTCCAGCATTACATGGAGTTCTGGGGTCCCACAATTTAACTGTCTGATCCCAACTCCCAGTAACCATCACATTCACTTCTGGGCAGTATTCAACACATCTGATAGGTGCATCATGTGTTCCAACAAGATTTTCTACAGGAAAAAGTAAACAAAAATCCTGCTTTACAAGCTCGGCTGAGCAAAGATTCCACAAGGAACAATGAAAGGAAATATTCATTTTTAACTATAATAAATCAGCCTCCACCAACTCCGCAGAAATGTCTGCATAAAGAAAAATTCCTCAACATCTACAGGAAATCACTCACCCTCTCTGCTCATCTTATAGATTCACTGGTCTAACACATATCAAAAGCGGGCTGGAATTTCAGATGACATTTAAATGGTGGCATAACTGTCATTTTCCTCACTTGATTATAGATCCCTTCTTTAACTCTACAGTTACAGTCTGACTGTATCTTGTGCAGGTTCTCTGACACCTGGTAGGTGCTTGAGAAACAGCTGCTGTACTAACAAGTGAGTGGAGATAGCTGGCCTTCTGGAACTGAGAGAACTTATCACAATATAGACCTTGTCAGAGACTCTTAAGTGGTAACAAAATTATCTGAGAGCCGGGGATTAGGAAGGCAAACAGTGTTACAATTAACACAGGTGGCTTTGAGGGGACTCAAAATCCCACTAAACAATTTCTTTCCTTCCAATGTCAACTCTTCACATTATGTCATTTATTCATTCAACATCTATTATGTCTACCAAATGTCTATGCTGTGCCAGAATCTATGCCACAGGCTAAGCACACAACAAAGAACAACATACATTCCTGACCCTCAAACAGGAAAACACCTGCAAGGTGTCGTTTTTGCAATAAAGAAAATTTTGCATGAAGTCAGGCGATGATCTTTTAAGAATAACCAACTAATTGCCTTAGTTATGGTCTTGAACATTAAATGTTTCTCAACATGTTTTTCCTCCTAAGTTTCCGTACAAAAGACCCTAAACCTAAAAGTCTGCTTACTGTAGAATAAACTATTAGCAAGCAAAATCAAACACCTGAAGGTGAACACTCTAGGAAGAAGTGCTTTTCATTCAAAAACCTTGTCTGAGAGGCTGCTGACTTTTCTTTGACAGAATAGTGCGCCCACGCATTTACTGCGTAACCTATTCTTGATACCCTCTGAATCAGCTCTCTGAATATTAGCTACTCACATGCATCTACATGTGAGGCATGCACATCCCCCCAAAGCAGCACTCTTCTAGAGAGCTTTGTGTATTTGGGTTCCAGTCCAAGCTCTAGTGCAATATAAATATAAACATTTGGATAAATCGTATCTAGGCCTCTAAAATCAAATGTGTCACCTTGAGAGCCATTTAATAAATGAAACTGAAGCATGTTCTACACTAAACACACAAGCAAGATTAACACAGTCACTACACAGGCTTAGCTGTCTTATGTTAGATTTTTAAAACACATCATCCTTCAATCTAAACTAAATTAGCGTCTAAAAGCAAACTGTGAAAAGCCACGGGAAAATCCTAAAGAAAACTACCAGGATCCAGAGTATCTTTGAGGATCACGTAAAAGCCAAATATTTAACTGCTGCCGCATGTCAACATTTGGGGTAGAGATCATCCTAGGCGTTCCTGGAAAAACCACATGCACAGTGATCTGTGATCAGTAATATGGCATTTTGATCACTTCAACAAAAGTCCTAAATCCAAGCCACTTGCATTTCTACATAAGCAGCTTAGCAACAAGGCAGTTCAGGAGCTACTCTTCCTCCATGAACCTTATTCTCTAGTCCACCAGCTGAAAAAGCTGGTAAAAAACACAATTCTATTACCTTGATCAGTGTTCAAATCATGCATTTTCAGTTGATGGTCTAATCCCCCACTCCAGGCATGGGTTGGATCCTACAACATAAAGTTGCAAAGCATTTAAAACTTACAGAGCTTTACAAAGTGTCTCCAAATTCTGACTCTACAGTCAACTGGTCAGCTTATGCTCAGGATGGTATGTGTGCTGGGCTCCGCTATTCATTGTAAACAAACAAAAACCAGCCCAAGAAAAGACAAGCAAGTAAGTGGCCACCGGCTGAGAAAAAACAGGCATTGCTATCGACTAGGAAATAGGCACTCTTTGAACAAGGCGGCCAAATGTTACTGCGGCATTGCAAATGTCAAGCAGAACTGACAGGCGTGCAGAAAGTTTGCAGGATCACCACGCCAGGAGAACCCATTTGAAAAAAGGAGGCCGAGTTTTCCACGTTTGCAAGCGTTCGCCACCCAAAGTAAAGGTGCGACAGCAAGTATCTGCAGGGAAAGCGGGAGCACCGACAGACGCTTCTAGCCAGTGGTGACTGGAGTGCTAGTGACACGGGGCTTGGTGACTGAAAAGTGGGCTGGCACGGGCGGCCGCCGACACCTACGTAGAAGGCGCAGTCCAGGACGGCGCCGGTGTGCTGGTACTTGAGCCGCATGGAGTTGGCTGGCACATCGTAGAGGCGCACGGACGTGTCCCAGGAAGACACCAGCAGGAACTGGGAGGTGTTGGGGCTGAACTTCACCGAGGAGATGCCGTCCTCGGGCGGCTGGTTCAGCTTGAACTCGTTAGAACCGGTCATCTACGGAACAGGCGCCCCGAGTCCCTTGGGTCCGAGGCCGGGGGTTCGCGACCTGACCCCCCACGCGGGAAGGACCCACACAGGGTCCGCGGCGGGGCCTCTGCGCGTGCGCAAAGCTCGCGCACCCACCATGTCCGGACGAGCCCCCCGACCCCACGTCCCCTTCCGGGAGCCCCGGCCGGGCCGACCCGCGCCGACGCCACCCCAACTCCAGTCCCCAGCCAGGCCCGCCGCTTCCCCGCCCACCGCCAGCTCCCGCGCCCCGGACCCTCCGCCCGGGCCTGCTGCCCCGGGGGCTCCGAAGATAAAGGAAAGGCGGTGGGGACGAAAAGGGCTCTCTAAAGGAGGCTCAGGCGATTCGGGGCCCCGAAACCCCCCTGAAGGCCGCCCGTGCGCCCCTCGGCCTCGCTCCGTTACCTCGGGCTCCCCTCAAAAGCAACTTCGCCGCCGCCGGCCGCTCGCCTCGCCTAGCTTCCCTCGCGGGTTGAGCGAAGGAGGCGGAGAGGAAGCTCCTGCCTACGTCTGCCATTGGCTGATTTCAAACGCCAACGTCTCATTACAGGCAGCCGATTGGTCCGCTCGGCGTGGGTGAACCAGTCATCCAGTTCCGGCTCAAAGGCAAACCGCGGTTTTTCCGATCACGTGGCCTCGTTTTACCAGGAGGTCGGAGCACCCGCGCGCTTGGCGAACATGGAAACTACGAATCCCAAGAAGCACTGCGCCAGGGCCGCGTTCATGCCCTCGCTCTCCCTTGTACGGCACTCTGGGAGATGTAGTCTAGCTTGGGAGGACACCCTATGTATGCTGATAGAAACGGGGGAAGGTGCTCTTTGCAGTTCCACCCCTGGCGCCCACCCTATCTCAGCTGATTTGTGTGCTACAAGAATCCCGTTTCGTCCAGTTCTTTTGCACAGATTAATTTATCTCCTTTGTACTGAGATAAATTACTACCCCTTTTACTGGACGTGCATACATACTCCCATAAAGTTAACCAAAAATTGTGGTAGAGAAAGAAATACTTGCTCTAAATTGCATTATTTCGCCCTCATTTTTTTCTCATTTTCCTGAAGTAACCATCTACGAACCCGCGTCTCATGTTTTTAAAGGTCGACTGATTTCATGGAAACTCACCCTTATTTAGACTATGCCTTATCTCTCTAGTCCATCTCAGACGAGCTTGCTGGAGCACACACCCTGTGCCAGGCCTGGTGAGAGATTCTGAGAAGGTGAATGAAGCAGACTAGTCCTTGCCCTCAAGGAATTTCCTGTTCAGAATAGAGGACAGACTGAAGCAATTCCTCACAATGTGCTAAAGCTCAACAAAATTGTTTTAGTCAGAGGTTTAGGTAAAATCCTAAAATGACAACTGCAGCCTCTCCCCATCAACTGCCCCTCCCAACAACTTCCAAGAGCTGCAGGCACAGTTTATTCATTTTCTGTTTGTAGAATCCTACAGAAAAAGGAGAACTGGTTTAACCTCCATGAAATAAAAGTAATAATTTAGAACTTAAATCTGTGATTCAGTTACTCTTAAAAATTCTCAATTTTATACAGGATATCTATCACTTTTTCACTTGTTTTGGTGGGAAGACTCTTATGTGAATTTATATTAAATGAAGAAAAATTGGTGGGATTATTTAACTTTGAAAGTGCATTAATAGGAGAAGGTTTGGTTCGTCGTTATGCCTTCACATTCACTGATTTGGGTGCTCTTCTTTTTATGATTGTCCATACAATAAACACAACTACCTTTCTGACCACTACATTGATGATATCATTGCTAAATGAACAGATTCTTGCCCACCAGCCTCACCCATCCTCATCCATCCCTCTCTTTCCGTAAGTTAAGGGCCAACTTCAAGATTTTAAAATGCAGTGCTTTGCCTGCATTCTAAGTTTAGCTAAATAATTTTATCTCCAAATAATTTTATTTGGTTCCTTCTCCCAGTTGTTTGTTTAATTCTAGTCGTGTTTTGAGATTCTGAGCATGAATTACCCACTAATAAAATCTAAGTGTATTTCATTATCCTGTGTGTGTATAATTCAGGTCCTCTGGGCATGCAGTTGCAGCTGGACTCGATTTGAGTTTTAAGAAACGTCAATCTTTTAAATTCAGTTTAGAGCCTGAAAGGAGGCTGATTTTGCTGATTATTCAAATGAATTGATAGTCTTGAGGAGATCTGGCAACAATGGAGTCTGAACAACATTTTAAATCCAAATATGCAATGGTGTGCATATATGCTTCGTCACCTGAAAGAGAGAATTCCTAGACACTCATTATTAGATCAACGTTGCTAATTTCTGGGTTATGAAAAAGGGTGAGACACCCCCACTATGACAAATTGGAAAGGGTGTCCCCTAAAATTTTAAGGGTAAAATTACTCTGCCATTCAGTGCATGCAATGGATAGAGGAAACAATTGCCTGTAAGAAAAGTAAAAATAAGGTGGATATAGTCACTCAATGCTTTTAAAGTCAACATCTCTCGAAAAAACCAAAATCAACTGAAATGCAGACCAAAATGATATGGATGGAATAGTATAAAAGTAGCTCATTGGAAACAATCAGTTACTTCTGCATGGAATATTCAAATAGTGACTTTAGCAGAAGAGAAAAGTTTAAGTGGGTCATTCTGGCGAAAGAAAGCTTCATTGAAATAAATTACGTGTACCAAATAAATCAGAAGGAAACGGATCTCATGTCACTCTTCTGTCTCTGAAAATATTTCACATAGCTCTCTCAGAAAGTACTAGGGCGAGTATTTATTGAACTCAGTAGAAATAAAGTAAATGTCGTTGAACTAACTTCGTATGACGTCACCTTGAAGTAGATTATGATTTTTATAAAATCTACAGAGAAGAAAAAGCACGACCTCAAAGTGGACAAGAGACCAGACACTTTAGACAAAAGACTGGGAGTCATAAAGACCGGGGCCTACAGATAGCCAGTAGATTTCCACACAATACAGATAATTGCGCTGCCTTTCAGCTCCGAGAAAAGTCTGTCACGCAAATGTTTTCCTTCTGGAGGATGAGCTAGGGCTTCTGCGCAGCCGACTCGCCGCGCCTTCGCTCTTGGCCCAGGCTGAGGCTGCAGCGTCTCGGGAACTCGCCCCACGTGACGCCCAAGCTTTGAACTCCTCGGAGCACCGGCTTCCTTTTCCTACGTTTCTCGAGGAACAGGTGGCCGCGACCTAGCACTGCCAGAGTCTACGACCTGAAAGCCGCGCTCCTGTGCCAGCCTCTCGGTGCCACGCCCTCCCGGCCCGGGAGGGGCAGCCGGCCCTGGGGCGCGGAAGTCCGCGGGCGCCCGAGTTCCTGGCCACGGTTTTATTCTGCCCGCCGGCGATCCTGCCATTTTGCCAAGCACAATGCTCGCCATCGACAACAACAAAGGAAAGAATGTAGGAGGTGCCTGTGCCCGCCGCGCTTGCTTCGCCTGGTCTCTGGCCTCACATCCCTGCTCAGCCGAAGTGTCCCCTGTAAGCGCCGCGCGGGACACGCAACTGGGTCCCGCGCCCCAGAGCGGTGCGCCGCCACGAGCCTGTCGCGGCCACCCCACCTGCGCTGCGCGGGTGCAGCGGGGAAGGCCACTGGGCAGCTGCGAGCCGGGCCTCCCCGCCCTCGGGCCTCTCGGAGCCGGCCGGGAGCTGGGTGCCCACCGAGGGCGGTCCTGGCCTGCGCCCAGACCGTGGGTACCAGGTAGGGGGCGGGGGTGCGGCTCTGGCTCGCGTGCCCCCTCGGGGTCGCCAAAGTCCAGACCTTTAAACCCAGACCCCGGCCCCCTCCGAGGGCGTGAGCCAGACTTCTCCCGCCGCTCGGCGGCACATCTGCCCAGAGAAAACAAACGAGGAAAGCGACTAGCAGTCAACACGCGGCGCAGGCAATCCCGCCAAAGTTAGCCACGGTGCTTAAAATGTTTTATTTGTTTCTCTTAAAAATATTTACAGATCTGAACTCTGCCCCTTTCGCCCCCACCCATCCTCAGGACGAGGGAAGCGAAAGAGGCCTGGAGGTCACTGTCCGAAGCGAAGCGCCCCAGGGCTGACCTGGCCGAGCGCGAAGCACGTACGTAAGTCCAGGAGCGTGGGGGGAGGGGCTGCCTGGCTCTGCGCGTGTGTTTCCCCGCCAGTGTCCACCTGACCGCAACTCCCCGACCCGCTACCCCCGAGAACTTCCCCCGCAAAAGAGGTTCATCGCGTCTTGGACCGTGCTGCGTGGAAAGCCGGCGGCTTGCCTTGAGGAAGGCCACCGGAGCCCCGAAACGCACGAAACAGAAAGTCGGGCCGAGGCCATAAATAAGATAATGAATACACATGGTGTATTTCTTCATAGGCCGAGCCCGCGCCGAGCCCCGGAGCCGCCGGAGGGGGCCCGCCGGGCGCGGGGCGCGGGGGCGCGCGGATCAGTAGTCGAGCTTGTTGTAGAGGTTGTAGAGCGGTAAGGCCGAGAGGTTGCTGCCGGGGTAGTAGAGCGGCGCGGGGAAGGCGAGCGAGCGCGGCACCGGCACGCGCAGCAGCGAGCTGTCCCGGAACACCAGCGGCATTCCCACCAGAGTCTGCGCCGACGCGTGGGCCATGTTGGCCGCCTCCAGCTCGGCCGACAGCTGCCGCTTCCACTTGTTGCGGCGGTTCTGGAACCAAGTCTTGACCTGGGTCTCGGTGAGCTGCAGGCTGGAAGCCAGGCAGGCGCGCTCCGAGCTGCTCAGGTAGCGCTTCATGTCGAAAGTGGACTCGAGCTGGTACACCTGGCTGCGCGAGAAGACCGTGCGCGTCTTCTTCTTGGCGCCCGCCTGCCGCTCGGCGCCGCCGTCCCGCGGCCGCTCCGGCCCCGGCGACGGCGAACCCGCGGGCAAGAGCCTGTCTTTCTCTTCCTTAAAGTCCGGGTGCGAAGGAGAGAGGAAGGGCGTGCGCTCCGAGGTTGCGGGCCCCGCGCCTCCGCCGCCCTTGGGGGTACCTGGGGAGTGAGAACAACAGGCCGTGGAGTTAGGGAGCCTCAGAGACACACCCCCCCTCTCACTGGGGGCTGGCACGCGCCTGCAGCCTGGGCTGCCTTTGCCTGGGTTCTAACCCCTTCCTCTTCTCCCTCTGGCAGGCGCCTAGAGCCCTGACCCTGGCCTTTAAAACGCAACAGGAGGGCTGCTGTCGGGTATCCGTGCCCCCAGCTTCCTGAAAGGACAGGTGGCAAGAGGGAAGACAGTCTTGAGGGGGAACATTAGCACCGTTGTAAAAGGTGATTTTGCCTGGTAAAGACTGAGCTGGAAGAGTTCCGCCGGCATTATAGGGTGCGATCATTTCACAGGCCGTTTGTTCTGAAAACCTCGCTAAGGACTAACGCGGGGCTCCCCTGGCCAGATGTTGTAAAGAGGAGCCGTCTCTGAAAGGCACCATTGTCAATCATCTTAGAGTGCTAATCATTCGGAGGAGGAGGAGGGAGGAAGAGAAAGAGAACGAAAATAAGACGCAGGGGATGTCGCGTAAAGACAGACCCTTCCTTTTCCAGA